GTCGTCAATCCTGGGCATAGGGAAGGCCACTGGTTCTGACACTGCATTTAAGGCCCTGAAGTCACACACCAGCCTCGGCTTGTTCGTGTTTTTTATCCACAAAAACACTGGGCTGCCCCCACCGCCCTGGACTCTCTGATGAACCCTCTCTTCAGGTTCTTGTCAATGAACTCTCTTAGCTCCTGCATCTCTCTGTCTGACATGGCGTACAGCTTGCCTACAGGGAGCTGTGCCCCAGGGAGTAAATTGATTTGACAGTCAAAGGGTCTATGCGGGGTAGTTGGTCAGCTTCCCTTTCGCTGAAGACGTCGCGGAGATCTGCGTATTGTCGTGGTACCTTCACGTTCTCCGTTACTTCAGTCCCTGCTAGGGTGGCTTGGGCCCCTGCCAAACCCTTTCCCTCTTTGCAGTGTTCTAAGCAATGTGCTGAACCAAAAGAAACCACTCTCTGATGCCAGCCCACCAGCGGATCATGTAACGCTAGCCAGCTCATCCCCAATATAATGGGAGCTCCTCCCAAGGTGGCCACATTAAACGCTATCAGTTCGGTGTGCCTTGCCACCTTCATTATCATTGGGACGGTCTGCAAGCTGACTTCTCCTCCCAACAGCTCCCTGCCATCGATCGTGGTCACCTGCAGGGGTTGCTTAAAGGATCGTCTGTATCTGGTGTTCAGCTGCAAACTCTTTGCTCATGAAATTGCAGGAGCTGCCTGAGTCCAACAGCGCCTTTATCTTTAGAGGGTGTCCGTTTGGCAGCTCTAGCGCCACTTCTATCACTAGGGCGGGTTTAGGAGGTTCTGGCGTGGGCACTCTCACTGCTCTTTGGCCTGGCTGCTGTGCCCCGACGGTGGCAGCCAGGCGTTGGCTTTACTTGCTCCGGTATTTCTTCCTCTCTTCCCTCCACAGCTCCTACCATCCCTTGCCATTCCTTCCTCTGGGGGCAGACTCTGGCAAAGTGACCTGGCTGTTGGCAGAGATAGCATTTCCGGGCGCGTTTTCCCTCCTTCTTCCCCCCTCACTGGGCTTTGAAACTGCGCGCGCGCGCGCTGTTCCGATTTCCATCGGCTCTGCCGGCGGGAAAGTTGGCTCTGGAATGTCTGGAATGCGGAACTCCTTCCAACGTTCCCCCTTCCCTTCCCGCCTCTCCAATGCTCTCGCCTCCTGGCGCGCTCCTATGGTCAGCGCTGATTTGGTCAGCTGGTCCATAGACTCCGCCCTGGGCGCCCGGGAAAGTTCGTCTTTCACAGCCGAAGAAAGCCCTTCTTCAAAGAGCATTTGAATGGGTTCCGCCGATAAGTCCCACCCCAATCTGTGAACCAGCATGGTGAACTCAGTCCAGTACTCACGGACAGATCGGCTCCCCTGTTTGCAAGCCATTAACTGTCTGCGCACCACTCCCTGTTCAATATCGCTGGAAAACATCAGATCCATGGCGCGAAAGAACTTCATCGTGTCCTTTAGGACGTCACTATTCGCTGCCATCAGGGGTCTAACCCAGTCTCTCGCCCCCTTTTCAAGATGCCCAATCACGAAAGCCACTCGTGATTCCTCGTCAGGGAATTCATCAAACTGCAGATTGAGGGCATATTGCATCTCTGTCCGAAAGCCATGATAGTCTTTGGGCTCCCCCCCAAACTTCTGCACCAATCCTGGTACCTTTCTGGCGAGCTGGGTGGCTTTCCCTTTTGTCTGCATCCTGAGCCCTCCTCTCCTCAAGCCTCGCCGTCTGCAGCGCTAGCTGGACCTCCAACACCCGGTACCTTTCTTCCAGGCTTGGACCCGCTCCAGCTCCTGCTTCTCCGGTTCCGGCTGGGTTGCTCATGATGCCTTCTCCTGCACAAGCTGCTTTCAAAGACTGTCGGAATGCTGTGATGGGATGATGAGCTGCTTGTGCGTAAAATAGTATCCCCTCAGAGTTTGTTCAAGTCCACAAACCTCTGTCTGTGACGGAGCCCCTCAGACATGGCTCCTCTAGTCACTAGCAGATTCCGACAGTGGTTGCTTTGGAATCGCTTCCAACATAAAAGCTCCTTAACGGAAACACGTCTTCTGGACTCTCTGCGTGACAGTTTCCGGCGAGGAGTGGGTGTTCCTACAGGAGGTCCTGAAACCTCCCCACTGTTTTCGCTGGAAGTGTCTCTGAGCCATCCCTCCAGCTCACTTTCCCTCAGCTCAGCTCCTCTCCCCCTACTGGTTCCCTCTTCAGCTGCTGAGTCTCTCCCAACCTGTGTGAGCCCTTTCACCTCCCTTCCTTCCGATGGCAGTTCCCTGACAGATTACAAAAAATTTCTCAGGACAATAAGATATTGTTGAACTATAAAATCACAGAACAGGAGGTTGAAGGTGCCATTCAGAATATGCAGTTGGGAAAATCTCCAGGACCGGATGGTTTAACCTCAAAATATTACAGAACTTTGAAAGACTGGTTAATTCGACCTTTAACTGAGGTTTGTAATGAAATATTAGAGGGGAAAAGAGCGCCAGAGTCGTGGAAGGACGCATTTATCACACTTATACCAAAGGTCGAGACTGAAAAGACACAGCTTAAGAACTACCGGCCCATATCCCTGTTAAATGTGGATTACAAAATTTTTGCTGACATTTTAGCAAAAAGGCTTAAAAAAGTGCTAAACGGAGTGATTCACAAGGACCAAGCTGGCTTTCTTCCAGATAGACATCTTGGGATAACACAAGGAACATAATTGACATTCTGGAGAAGCTGCAAGAGGAGATCAACACTAAAGCAGTTTTGATTTTTGTGGATGCAGAGAAAGCCTTTGACAATATTTCTTGGAGTTTTATGAAAAAAAATCTTCAGGGGATGGGGGTAGGCCAAGAGTTTGAAAATGGTATAAATGCAATTTACTCAGAACAAAAAGCTAAATTAATAGTTAATAATGTGATAACAGAGGAAATTAAGATAGAGAAAGGGACACGACAAGGCTGCCCAATTTCCCCATTACTTTTTATTTCTGTTCTGGAGGTTCTGTTAAATATGATAAGAAGGGACCAGCTGATTAAGGGCATAACGGTCGGAGCGAAACAATATAAATTGAAAGCATTTGCAGATGACCTTGTATTGACATTACAGGAGCCAGAATCTAGTACGAAAAGAGCATTAGAACTGATTCAAGAGTTTGGTCAGGTGGCAGGTTTTAAGTTGAATAAATTTAAAACTAAAGTACTTGAGAAGAATTTAACACTGATTGAAAAAGAGAGGTTTCAGAATGAGACAGGTTTAACAGTGGTAAAAAAAGTGAAATATCTGGGGATTCATATGACAGCTAAAAATGGGAATTTATTTAAAGACAATTATGAAAAATGTTGGTCGGACATTAAAAAGGATTTAGAAATATGGACAAATTTGAAGCTTTCCTTGTTAGGGCGAATTGCTGTTATCAAGATGAATGTATTGCCAAGAATGTTGTTTTTGTTTCAATCGATACAAATAATAGATAAAATGGACTGTTTTAAGAAGTGGCAGAGAGATATTTCTAAGTTTGTCTGGCAGGGCAAGAGGCCTAGGATAAAATTTAAAATATTGACTGATGCTAAAGAAAGAGGGGATTTGCCCTGCCAGACTTTAAACTTTATTATGAATCAGCAGCTTTCTGCTGGCTGAAGGATTGGCTACTTCTGGAAAATACTGATGTATTGGACCTAGAAGGTTTCAATAATGTGTTTGGGTGGCATGCATATCTGTGGTATGACAAGGTTAAAGCTCACAAAATGTTTAAAAACCATATTGTCAGGAAAGCATTGTTTAATGTCTGGATAAGATACAAAGACTTATTGGAGAATAAAACCCCAAGGTGGCTATCACCAATGGAGGCAAAGGCCCTAAAAAAGTCCAATATGGAGGCCAAATGGCCAAAATATTGGGAGATCTTGGAACAAGAAGGAGACAAATTCAAACTGCAGAGTTTTGAAAAATTAAAAGATAGAGTGCGAGACTGGTTGCATTATTACCAAATAAGAGAGGTCTATAATTTGGATAGAAAAATTGGCTTCCAGGTGGAAAAATCAAAGTTGGAAACAGAACTGCTAGATTCCAAAACTAAAACACTTTCAAGAATGTATAACTTGCTGCTAAAATGGAATACTCAGGATGAAACGGTAAAATCTGCTATGATTAAATGGGCACAGGATATTGGACATAATATTATGTTTGCTGACTGGGAACGGTTATGGACCACAGGTATGAAGTTTACAGCATGTAATGCTTTAAAAGAGAATATTATGAAAATGGTGTACAGGTGGTACATGACTCCAGTCAAGCTTGCAAAAATCTACCATTTGCCCGATAATAAATGTTGGAAATGTAAGGAAATTGAAGGTACATTCTTTCACATTTGGTGGACGTGCCCAAAGATTAAGGCCTTCTGGGAAAGGATATATAATGAGTTAAAAAAGGTATTTAAGTATACCTTTCTAAAGAAACCAGAGGCCTTTCTCTTGGGCATTGTTGGCCAATTGGTGCTAAAGAAAGACAGAACTTTTTTATGTATGCAACAGCAGCAGCAAGAATACTCATCGCAAAGTATTGGAAGACACAAGATTTACCCACTCTGGAAGAATGGCAGATGAAGGTAATCGAATATATGGAATTGGCGGAGATGACTGGCAGAATCCGTGACCAGGGAGAAGAGTCGGTGGAAGAAGATTGGAAGAAATTTAAAGACTATCTACAGAAATACTATAAAATTAATGAATGTTAAATTGAAGTCTGATTGAAAATAACTGGTATTGGCAAAAGCTTTGTGATTAAGAGTATGGAATATTTGATGGATAAGGTTGTAAAAATATTTATATATAAATAGATTAAGTTTTTGAGTTAAGATAATGAAAGGAGGGTAAGGACTTGCTGAAAGGAGTTTGTAACACGAAGTGCCAGCGGGGAGCTGCGGGGAAGTCAAAGAACTAGATAAAGATAAGAAGGATAAATGAAAGTATAAATATTTTTTAAATTTTTTTTGTTTTCCTTTTTTTTCTTTTCTTGCTATGGATATTGTCATTTCTGTTTGTTTTCTGTCATTGTTGTCTTTTTGTTTGTTGAATTTTTGTTATTCTGTATTTTTTGGAATTTTTTCTTGTAAAACCAATAAATATCTTATAAAAAAAAAAATGAAGATTTTGCAGCTTTCTCTATCATAGGACAAAGTCAGTCCTTTCTTTGTGATCTGCGAAACACTCAGCAGATTGAACTTTAAATCAGGAACCAAATACACATTGTTTATAGTCAAGTTCAGACTCTCAAGATACACAGTTCCAAACCCGGTCGCTTCCAGCTCCTGACCGTTGGCTTGTTTCACAGTGAAGCTTTGCTTCTTAAACGTTGAAAACAGATCTCGCCGAGACGTCATGTGTTGCGTCGCTCCAGTGTCCAAAATAAAAGCGTTCTCCGTTGAAAATGCGGCTTTTGTTGACAGCAATGCCTTTGCAGGTTTCACCTGGGACTTGGTACGACTTTTGCCTGATGCCTCAGGCTTCGCAGAGCTCCCCTTAGCTCCTTTCTGTTGACGTGGCTTCTACAATTCCACTGAAGATGCCCAGTCTGTCCACAATTGAAACAACGGACAACGTTCAAAGCAACAGCCTGTTCTTCACTAGCAATAGCAGCGGGGTGTCAGAACTCCGAGCTTCTCTCCCTGTCTTTGACATCTATTGCAGCAAGTCTGTCTTTCTCATTGAGAATCACGGCACAAATTCTTTCCGTCGAAAGATCTGCGGCAGGTAGAGAACCAAGCTGACTTGCAACCGTTTTGTAAGTCCGATTAAGGCTGTTAATAATCATGAAGCAGAATATCTCTTCCTGTAGAGGGAAATTGCGTTCCGCCATCTGCTGGCGTAAGAATTTCATCTCTGTCAAATGCGCTTGCACATCTCCATCAGGCGCTAGCCTCAGATTGGTTAGCTTTTCAAAATGCAGCAACGCTGAAGAACCAGCATCTCTTTGATGTATTCTACGCAGCGTTTGCCAAATCTCACACGCGTATTCCAAATCCTGAATATGCACGAGCTGATCATCCGAGATACACAGAATTATGGCCGTCCTGGCTCTCACATTCTGTGAATTCCAACCTGGCGTTGGTGCAGCAGGGATGGGGTTATCAATCACCCCACAAATCCTCTGATTCTGAAGCAGGGCTTTCATCTTTACAGACCATGAGGAATAATTGTCATTAGTCAGTGGAGGTGGGTAAGGTAAGCCTCCCCCCTTCTTGGTATCCATTTTGAATCCAAGCCTCAGCTCTCACTCTCGAGCCTGTAAACTCCAAAAGTCTATTGGCTGTTTACTGCCTCACACTTGGCAGCTAAACACAGGCTGTTTTGAAAGTCCCTCCAAGAGCAGTGAGATAATAGACAAAACAAACTCTGTTTTCTCAGTGTTTTTCCAGTCTCTCACAGTGCTCAGCCTTACTTCCGTGTTGGCCAGTAACTTTCCACTTTACTGACGTTTCGTTGCTTAGCAACTGGACATTCCAGGCTTGAGCAGCAACCCTTATCAACCCCAGGAATGCGAAATATGCAGGCTATTTCTCTCAGTGCTGGTTTCATCCAAAAGCAGACACTCAGTGAACCGAAGAATGCTTCAATTCGCGTTCACTCTCACAGCCATAAAATCACCATACCTTGAGGGAATCCGTTGCTTTTGCAAAAACACCTCCTCACGGCTCAGCCGTCCTTGTAGCTTCCATCCGCCCGCTACCACATTCTTTCTTTATCTCCTTGCAGAGGATGAAGTACGATCCATCAACCTCTCTTGTTGCTTTCATGGATCAAAACCATCGGCTCCGTGCTACCATATGTTGGGATTCAAGCCTTTATCAGGAGAAACTGGCCACTCTCCAGGCACCCGGCTTGATCTCCTGTTGACCTCCCTGTCTGCATTCCCGGCAGGATCCAGGCTAGGTCGCGATAGGCGATCCTCCTCAGCGTGAGAAGAACACACCTCCTCTTTCCTGCCCCCTGGGCAGGGAGAGAGATAGACAGAAACGTATTTACATTCCTTTATTTCTGTCTTTGCAGCGTTACAAAAATCATGTCTGCTCTCTTCAAGCTTCAGCAGTCGAGAGACAAACTCCTCCTGTACTTCCTGTACAGCTCATATTACACTCTGAGCTAATTCCGGTGCCCTCTGCACTGTGAATTGACTGTCCCTCTGTTTCCCACGGAACAGTCCCAACATTCCCATTATGTTTTGCTTTCAAGCTATCAGCTCGCGGCCACATTGCTTCTATATCGTAACAGAACCTGCTGAATCAGACCAGCAGCCTGTTCTCACAGCGGCTAATCAGATGTCCGAGGCAAGCAAACTGGAACACAAGAGCACTTTCTCCTCCTTCAGTTCCCAGCAACTGGTATTCAGGAAGCATGGCTTCCTCCAATTGTGGAGGCAGAACAGAGCCACCCCACATGAGATCAGGGAAGCCCCATCCCTCAGTACTTTTCCATGGGCCTTGAAGGCCCACCTTTTTGGTCATGGCCTTCAGTGGAAATTGAGATGTGATCTGGTTTTTGTATGACTAAGTGATCCTTGTTGTTTCAGGACACATGCCAATGTTTTAAATGGTTTTAAATTATATTTTATTGGTTACCTTTTAATGTGCATTTCATGTACCACTTTGTGAAGAATGCTGCTTAAAAACAAGGTATAAATATTATTACAGAAGTTGGGTTACCACCCCACTCTCTGCCGAGTGCTAGCAAGATTTCTGGGGGTTCCAGGCGCTCAGCCATGTTCTGTGCTCCTTTGGAGAATTGACTACACAGCTAAGACTGTTGTAGCTTTACGAAATATGGTTTATTCACCTATTTGTACCTTCAGCCTGCATGCAACACTTATAGGCCCCAACTCCTATGAGCTGAGGTCCTTTCAGCACCCCTGAAAATATTTGAGGGGGCTGAGCACCGCCCCCAAGTTGATGGACATTGCCATTCAAATGGTGTGGGTGTCCCCAGTCATGTGACTGAACCTGTAGGGCAGTGCTTACCTGCCCCCCCATATTTTATTCAAGTTGCACCCCCCTGGAGCCAAAGTCATCTCTCCCAGCCAGCCTTCAGCCAGCCTGCCCATGATGGCTCTCTCCCTATTCTCTCCCTTCTTCTTCCCAGCACACCTTGCTCCCAGTACTCTCTTTTCCTGACACCTCAAACACACACCCCATCACCATGGCAACCTCTGCCTGCCCAGGCCCAAGAATTCCTCTCAGATGGGCCATCAACACCTGTTGTCCTGTTAGTGCCTCTATCCGAGGGGAGGCCCTGGCTTGCAAAGGAAGCTTAGCCTGCATTTCCCCACTGATCTGCAATCTTCCCTTCAACACTCCAAATAATCACAATCCTACCATTTATTATTTTCTAGGGTTTGGGGTGGGGCCTCCCCCCCCAAAAAAATCTATAACAATATGTAAACAAAGACAAATGCATTTGGATTGGTCCTGATAAAAGTGTTTCCTTATTGTGACTTTTGAATAAGCAAATCAACCATGGACCAACACATGCTATCTGTAGTTTTTATTTGTCTAAGTATCTACCCCTTTTTTTCCCTTTGCTCAGCCTTCATCCTTTTGCATTCTCAGAGAGAAAAAAAACTCTCCTAAAAAGAAAACCTTCTAAAATTCTTGCTCTTTTCAGACACAGGGAATTGTAACTCAGGCCGTGTTTTCTAAAATAAAATGTGGTTATTATTATTATTATTACTATTACTATTATTTAGATTTTTATACCACCCTTTATCCAAAGATCATAGGGCAGTTCACAACATAAAAATACAAAATGAGAATACAACACACACAATAAAACACCCCCCCAAAAAAAAACATTTAAAAGGCCAACATTTTGCATGCTACAGAGGAACAGCTTTCTACTTCCTTTGATTAAAATATTTAAGTTTGCATTTTTACTTGTATAAATGTTGTTTTGAAATCACATTTTAGCAAATGGGCACATTGATGGTGTATCAACCCTTAAAATAAATTTATTTGATAATGCACATTTTATTTTGATGCTATTAAAGCACCATTTCAGTTATACAATATGTCTGTAAAAAGCTATTGCAATGTTGAGCAGCAAGGGATGACCCCATAAGTAATGATTTCTGTTCAGTTAAGGGTCTGACATTTACCTGAGCTGAAATTAATAGTGCAGTTTTACAAAAGTGGTACTTTTTAAAGGACATTATTACATCCTGTGGTTTCTGAATGGCACAAGTCTAGAGACAGGAGTTGATTATGTTCTATATGCCCCCAAAATTCATTCAAAAGAGACCTGTATTTTCAACTGTTGTGAGATAGCTGTTTAATTAAAAGTTAACATTGTGAGATAGCTGTTCAATTAAAACTTAACATTGGGGAAGTAAACCCACCTATGTTGCCTTTAGCCCTGTTAATGTTATAGTGGGATATGATCTCTCATTTTCTCTGCCCAAATTGTATCCCATTCTCTTCCTTGTGTGAAGTTTGGATTTTCTCAATTGCATGTGGAGAAGAATAAGTTGCATCCAATAAAAATCTCATACTTTAAACTGGACTCCCCCGCCAAAAAAAAATCTTAACATCGAAAAGTTTTTAAAATGCATTTATATGTTTGGCATCCAAGTATGTCTGCAAGACAATGTATGTTTGTCAAGGATGGATAAACATGTCATTTTGGATGGCTACTGTTGATATTCTTGTTCAGCTTAATGTAATAGACCTACAAAGTGAGTCATAAATTGCAGCAAGAACCGAAGAGATACAGTATATACTGTAAGTGAAGATATATACTGTATATGTACTGAAGTACTGTATGTAATATATATATATATATATATATATATATATATATATATATATAATGTAAAGTTATATTGATTTATATTGATATAACTTTACTCTGATTTATATGGTTTTGATATTTTGGAAGTGCTGTTGAGGTATGATCCACCATCAGAAGGTTCTTTGAAAGCCTCAAGATTCATCTTAATGGGGCTTAGGTAGAACTTTTGAACCTGATTTTGGCCTTACGATATATTATTACCAATCGAAGGTAAAAGCTACCTTCACTTTACATGCTTCTGTTTTATTTTTAAAATTAATATGTAGTTTTGTCGCTGTTCCATTTTATATCAGGCAGCAGCCAAAGGGAGCTAAGCCCTCAGCATTTTCATGGCCAAAGTTTTTATTTGCTGCAATTCTCTTGCTGCAATTCTAAACCCACCTTCTTGGGGGGGGGGGATGCAATTCAGTATAGTGTAGTTCAATCCTAAATAGCGTGGTGGCAAAAGCATGTTGATAATGAGACTTCCGGGTTGGCGCCTCTGGCAATGGCGGATTTCCTCCGATCGGGAGGAATCCGCTCCATGGAAAACAGGGTCTGAACCGCCACGGCGAGGTGGAGACCCATCAAAAACCACAGGCGGGAGAAGCCTGTGGACGTGGGATTCGGCCGGTACCTTTGCGCCCCCCTACTCGTGGGGAAACCCGATTTCGGGGTTCCGGAGCGACGTGGGGTGAGTGGCGCGGTGCCTTGAATCGACTGCTTCTTTCACAGAGTGAAGCCGCATTGCTGTTGCCGGAGAGCGCTGACTTTTTCCTGTGGACAATTGGAGCTTAAATAACTGTTCGTGAGTAGAACGGAAAATTGGAATAAGAAATTTCCTTTAATTTGGCACTGAAGCGGGAAGGTCTAAACAGGAAGTCTGCCTTCCGCTTTTTGTAAATAGATTGAAGCAAAGACACAGCAAGCTAGAGCTTAGAAAATCGTTTGTAAAGGATCAATTTTCATCATTTAAAATTACTGAACCCCCCTTGGAAGCAGGAGAAGAGGGGGGAACTTTTTCTGGACTGATTAAACTTGCAGAAGACAAGTAAAGAAAAGCAATTCTCCACCATCCTGAACCTGGGAGCGGGGTGTCAGGACAGACGTCTTCAGGAAGTTCATTGACTATAGACAAACGTTTTTGACAGATAGTTAAAAGAAGAGAAACATATTGATTCCATTGTTCCCCTTCGCATCTGAAAGGAACAAAATATTGACAAAATATCTGAAAAAGGAAACTTTGTTGTTAGATTTGCTTTAAAAAAAGAGAGAGAGAGAGAGATGGATACAAATAGAAGCTTTTTCCCCTAGAGGGAGCTTGTGAAACTGTTATTAAATTCGAACTGGGGAGCTTTGCAGCTGCAATAGATTAAGATCGTGGGAACAGACTCTGACTTTCAACAAGAATGTACTCGGAGGCTCTGGTGTTGGCCTTTTGTAAGACAAGTGCCTTATTGGAACAGTTACATGAGAAGATGGATTTGATGACTGTTGGGATCGGAAAGTTTGGACAGGCAGTGGGTACTTATTTAGAACCCACTCAGGAATTAACTCTCAGGAGTGTGCTTTGACAGATCAGATGAGGGAGGAGGTTGTTGCTGGACCTAGTGATGCAGAGATGGAGGGAACTGTGGCCCAGCAGGAACATGAGTTGTTGGACTTGACAAATGAACCTGGAGAAAGCCAGATTTGGAGAGACAGAGTTCTGTTTGGCTTGGAGATGGGGGGCTGGATAGACCCCCCCTATGCAGGGATGTTTTGACCTTTCAAGTCTGGCTTTGGGCCGGGAGGCGTTCGGAGTTGTGCTTTGGAGGGACTTTGAAACATGTTTTTAAATACCACATGGAGTTCAGTGTTGACTTTGGAAAAGGGGCTGATCTGTCGAGAAGGGACAAAAACATTGTCAAGCTGGAGTCTCCCTGAGTGAAAGGCGCAGAAGACAAAGTAAAGCACAGGTATAAATGTATAAATATGAAGAAGATCTGCGGATGGGACATGGAAGAGATCCAAGGGCCTTGGATATAAGGTTACCAGGTTGATGGACTAGATGGATGGGATAGAAAGGACTGACAAAGCCCAAGACCAGGAGAAAGAGACGTTGGATGAAGATTGGAAGAAAGCTTTAAACAAATTATTTAGGAAAATCTTGTAAAAGTAAAGAGTATTAGAAAAATGTTGGAATGAAATTATTTGGCTTTAGCAGAAATGTTAAAAAGAATTATGTAAGAATATATCATGGTTAAGAGAATTTGGTATAAATAAGATTTAAG